CTTTCTGTTTGTTTTGGACTGTTTAAGTATTGCCAATATTGACGTCTTTTTGTAGGTCATTTTTAATATTGTTGAATTTTCTAATATCATTTTCTAAACTGTGCATCTGTAGGAAACGGGCTACATTTGTTCTGCATCGCTGTCACAGCCATCCAAGAAGAAAGCAGATGGAGCGCTCACATGTCCGATCACAGCCTGATCCATGTATTCCAGCCGTATGTTGTTGTGGGTGTATGTAACATTTCTGTCTTCCTGCCCTGGAGCATCAGACTCAAGTGTAACCTTGAGTGGAAACCATCAAAGCCCAGAGAAACATGGAGCTCAAGGACGCTCAGGTGGCTGACCTGCTGTCACCGGCTGACAAGCAAAAAGAGACTCAACAGGCAAACTAAATTCTGTTTACACTTTATTCTATTAATGCATGTTGTTTGTGTGTCAAATCAGTTCCTTAAAAGTCAAAGGTTGGTGTAAATCTGACTAAAGAATCTGACTTTGCAAATTTAAGAAAATGAGGAAGCTACCGCAGCCTGTTGTCTGTGTGTGAATCTGAGATAAGCAGCAATTTAGGATTCGACAAAATGTGGCAACACGGAAGCACCGACTGTGCTTCCTCTAACGGTCAAGCTCCAAAGGTGAGTCAGGCCAACGAGACTCCCCCGTTAAACCTACCAGAACTCAAATGTTTGTGTTTCAAATGTAATCACAGGGTTGGATTGTGTTAACTTTTAAAGGAGTGGACACCTGGAAAGTGATAACTGCCTGCTAGAGTCTAATTATCAGTAACTACAGTGGGATGCAAACGTTTGGGCAACCTTGCTAATAGTCATTGTTTATGCACCTGCCTGATTGTGTTTAAACAATTATCGCACACTTTCTGTAAATCCAATAACCTTCATTTCACTTCTCAATTATCACTGTGTGAGTCTCCTGTATGATATATTTAACTGACATTTTTATTGCAACAATCCCACTGTGTGCATGAATACAATACAGGCAGTAGAAAATTTAAACTGGTATATCAGCCTGATCGAGTGTTATTCATGCAATGACAGCGAGCTATCTGACGCCTTCTCAAACAGGAAATGGTTAATATTCTCTTAGACTTCAGAATATGGAGTTTGCCTGACATTACATTCATTACATTAATATGCAAAAATATTTGTTATTTCTATGCATGTAACATCTGACTGTGTGTGCATGTAGTGTGAGAACACGTCCCTCAGCACAGTAGTGAGGCTCACTGATTGCATAGCAGTGGCACAGAGGAGCGCAATGTATCAAGATACACACAGACTACATGTCAGCACAACATCGTCCTCCTGCATCCATACGTCTGATTCAGTTGTCTGTGTCTAAAGGTCACCAAAGGTAACTTCAGCCCAACCAGGTCGCCTAAAACTAAAAAGCAGAGCCAATTATCTGTCAGCTCTGGCCCAGCGTTCAACACTGACCGCAGTGTGTGAAGGATGTAGACTGTAAAGCTACCTGGAGCTGCTTAATATAACAGTGCACTTGTACCTTTTCGAGCAGTCTGTGTGTGTGTACATGACAGTGGGTGGGAGTGTGGGTGGAGGAAACGGGGAGGTGGGGTTTCTATGGCAATGAAGTGTTTGTGCTTCAGCTGCAGAACGGCAACATCCTCCCTGGAGGACAGCGACTTTAAGAGTTGTAATCTGGCAAAGTCTTCTCTGAGGAGCAGCAAACACACAACACCACGTGAGCCTAAAGGTTGCTGCGACCTCCCGACGTGTAGAAAAGGAGGCCCTGTCTGTGGGCGGATCACGGGGCATGCAGAGTGAGGGACATGCACAGAGGATCAGGGTACAGTAAGGAGAGAAGGTTGATAGCGGTGCATGTACATGAGTTACGTGAGCTGGAAACCTTGACGGCTAAAAATGTCCTCGTGTGTTTGAGCATCGTTTCCCGTTGACTTATCCTGTTATTGCCTTTAATTACATTTAATGTTTCATCTAAATAGCGGTGTTCAGAATAAACAGAAAACCAGGATCAGTAAACATATTGTAGCCCATGAATTATACATTCTCTGTCAAGGCCACTTGGAAATGAGCACGTTTTCAAACAAACTACAGAAACACAAGGTTGGGAAACATTTCGAGTCCTGTAACACTGAATATATGAAGTAATGACTATAGAATACATATGAAACTTTTGTTTCACCTTTTTACAATAAATGTCTGGGTGTACTAGTGCACTGTCCCCATTATTTGAACTTTAGCCGTGTGTAGACCCACAGTGTCGTATCATACATGGCAGAATTTAATGTTTCCATTTCTCAAGATTTTTGTTACTAATAAGTAACTTTTATCATTTATCTGGGTCAGTTTCAGCAGTGATCGTTACCCAGTGCTAAATTAGTAAGTAAGAAACAAAAAAGTGTTAAAAAGTATAGAAATAATGAAAGTATTTGATATTTGAATTTCCACCATAAGTTTGATGGTGCAACATTTACTTCTGTCTGCTGCATTTTGTCACTTTTATACTCCATATATAAGCGTGTGTGTGTGTGTGTGTGTGTGTGTGTGTGTGTGTGTGTGTGTGTGTGTGTGTGTGTGTGTGTGTGTGTGTGTATGTGTGTGCGTGCGTGCATGAAGTGTTCATGTGAATATTTCCACCTGGAAATCTCATTTTTCTGATCATTCTGACGTCGTGTGGATTATCTGTCGTTGTGTTGCAGCAGACTCTGACAGGTGTAAGCTCTGGCACCTTGTGGAATACTTCTGAACAACATAGTTCTACCTCACAATCACAGTAATCAGCACTTTCTAACGTTATAAAAACGTGCCTGACACTGGTGTCTAATGAGCCTTCTCACCTGATACATCTATAGCTCAAAATGACCTTTGAGCAGCTCGCATGTCTTCCGAGTGGCCTGACAGGCCCTACCTTTGCTGAAGCACACGCCTCCTTTTCCTTAACGATCCTATTTAGACCTATCAGATGTTTGGGGGGCAGGGACAATCAAAAACACCTGGAAAGAGGTGGTCCTAGGATGTTTGGGAGAAATGTTTTCAGAGTAATGGTGAAAGAAACAAACAAAATTAAAAGTCTGTTGACATGTTTCTGTGTCTAGTGTAGATTATAGCACACGCTTCGATCTAAGGCCGCGAGAGCTGCTTGATCACCTTGTTCTCACACAGTATTTCAGGTGGTAACGTTTGCTCCTTAATCATCTCCTCCATGCTCAGCATCAGGCTTTGTGATATCAGCACATTATTGTAGAAGCCACCCCACCTCAAAGAGAAAAACTCTCCGCTCTGCTTCTTGTAGCATGACGGCTGCTTCACCCTCACTGTGCTCCACATGAGGAAGCTTTCTTCACTTACTGTATATCTGAGCAAAAAGAAGCAGCCGGATATTAAATGCTGATCATATGAAGCCTCTTACAAAGAAAAAGCAAAGATCTTTACTTTGGATTAATTTCAGCTCTCAGTGCCTTTTCCTTCAACCAGTTCAGGGCTTTCTTCACAGATCTTGGTGTCCATTTACACTCCTCCTCTGTGCCTCCCTGTTCAGTGCCCACATCCGCCGGGCACTATGACAACAGCACCAGCAGCAGGCAGGGTTACCCCAGCCATAAGCCTTCAGCAGTCATAGAAAACGACCCTGGGGAGGCGTTCAGATAGCACCGATGTGAACTTCTTTGCCCTTCTCTCATAAACACGGGAAGCTTCCTGCCACACACTGAACCAAATGCAAATCCTCAGGAAAGAGACATTTAAGATATGAACACAGTGGAGTGAGTCGGCAGCGTTCCAGCGAACAGCTGAATATGTTCACCTTTGCAGAGTCATCCACGCTTATCAGCATGGAAAACTAAGCAGAGCAGGATTAATGTCAATTACCCAACTCCAACGTCAATTATTCAACTCGACTGCACATGTGTGGAGTTTCTTCTCAGCACCTCCGTGTGAGGAAAGAGTGTTTTTATGTGAAAACCTTATTTCATTTTCAGCTGCTGTCGTGACTGTTAGGAGTGCAGAGTCACATCGCTGGCTTTTCCACAGCAGGCCTGTAAACTACCCAAGAGCAAGGTGCATGGTAGAAGGCAGGCAGCTTGTTTTCTGTGTTTAGACAGGGGGTCCCGAGCAAAGACTTTAATTCAGCCAACATCTGAATGTTTATCTTCTCCGCCCTGGAGAAACTGACATTTTAAAGGAGGCATTTTAATCCCTTGCGTCAATATAGCCTTCACCAGCCTGGAAAATGAATGGCAATGACACACATCCACTCTTTCTTCCTCTGTACGCCACAGCCTCATCTTCATCTGCCCCGAGGTGCAGAGAACGTGCTGCTCACGGCTGCAGAGGCACGTCTGAAGTCTGGTCACACGCTCGTGGTTGGGAACAACATGCATGATTTGCATCAAAGATAAAAGTGCCACAGGGAGGTGGGGACGGGTGGAGACAGCTTTGAATTTCATGCCCACGGGCTCTTATGCAAAAGCCATCGGTTCAGATATATTGTTTGTTTTTGAAGCTTGCTGGAGATCGATGAATGTGAAACAGAGATTTGGAAGGCAAACGAAACTCAGAATGGTTTATTGGCGTGCAGCGATTACTGAGTATAAACACTGAGGACGAACCTGATTCCATGAAAGCAAGTGTACTAAAGGATGCAGATACTAACCTTTAACAAGAGGCTCCAAGTAAACTCAGGAGCGCATCAATCTACACAAGCTGCTGCTGCCGTGATCAGAAACGTTTGGCATCCGTAAAGTTTCGCTCGATTTCTGATTGGTTTCATTTATCACAGAGTTCCGACCCTTGTGACGTGTCACGGCCATTAAGCATGCAGGGGGCACCATAATTGAGGCTAATTCTGGAAAACAATGTGTCACCTCAACGTCTACATCATTAGGATGCTATTTCTAACAGCTCCCGAGTCAGCAAATCACTCACTACCGCCGGGCCTCGATGAAAGCAAAGCAGGCTGTGGACGCTTGGATAAACAATCTGAAGGAGGAAAATCTAGATTCTTACTTTGACTGTCAAATTTCCTGATGATGGTATCCAGGAAGGTGTTCTGCGGAGCCACATGGCCCCTCCGGACTGGCATCTTCGCTGCAGTGGCCCCTGGACTGCGAAAGACTTTGCGGGACTTTGAATAATATCACAGCGAGAGCGCAGTTCTCCAATCTCCGCAGCCGGGCGCACGACGCTCACGGCGCTCCCGGCATGGACGCTACAGCGCCAGGCTCAATCCGGGGGCCAAAGTTTTCCCAAGTTTGGCCGCAGAGAAAGTGAAATCTCTTTCCACGAGAAAGTGAGGAAGAGGAGAGTTCTGGAAAAGGAGGCGCGCTGTAGGATCTGAGCCGTTTTTTGCCCTCCAGTTTCCAGCCTGAGAGGCGCGAGCGTGTCTGCTTGTGTCCCCCGAGGGGAGGGCCGCCTGTCAGGTGATGTTCCTCCTGCTCTCACACTCGCTGGAGCGCGGGGGACCACTCATCCTGCACTACAACCCGCTCCCGTGAAGCGAGCTTTCCGACGAACCTCTGTGGAGCCATGGCTCTGGCGCTGAGCTGCGCGTCTTTATTCCTCTCTTATTCCACCTCCTCCTCTTCGCCACCTGAAGCTCAGCGCGTTTCACTGGGGAGGAAATGAAGAACACCGGATTGGTTACATGAAAACAGCAGAGCTCAAGAACAGCAGCCCGAAGCGTCCTAGATCAGTGTTTTTTTAGGAGGTGTTCACTGTATCTCTCTCCTCCATCTCGCTGTGCGCTCTGCCAGATGACTTCAGCTCCACTGGCTTCTAACTGCGTCTCTTTTTAACCCTTTGCGCATCAGGAGCGAGATAGCCAACCTTTGATGGGTGGAGGAGAAGGAGCGCGCTCTCGGCCATCCCTGCTCTCCTCACCCCAGAAAAAACTGCTTATTACACCTCCAAGAGCTTTGCAGTTTGGGGATTTTGGTCGCTGAAAACGTGGCCCAGATATCATTAAAGAGCAACTGATTTAAATGCCTCAAAACAAGATCATTTGTCACAAAGATGATCTTGTAATGAATGTGTGGTGCAGGTGATGGTGGATACGAGCTCTGAAAGGCTGCCGTTGTTAACAGGTGTTCGGCTTTGTGCTGCATTACCTGTCCTCAGCAGCTATGGGAGGGATTCAGTTTACATCCACGCCCTTCTGCCCGCTCCTGTGCTGCTTGTCTCTGTGTAACAAAAGACTCCATCCATACCTCACAAAGGAACATTCACCTGCGCGAAAGTGAAGCGTGTCTCTCTGCCTGAGCTGATCCTGAATCAGCGAGTTTGCCGTGGATAACGAAAGGCCGTTTAAAACGCGTTGCTGGTGCTTCTTTATTGTGCTTCAGGGAGGGTCGGATGGGGATTCACCACTCAGCCTGCTCAGCTACGTCACAAGGGTTCCCCCCTTCCGTCAACCTGGGGATGATGCCTTCACGGAGCGTCGGGTATTGCGGATCTAGCGGATGGATTGAAACCCAGTCCTGCTCTTCCGCTCTATTTTAGCCTTACATGTAATATCTTTAAAAATATGAATGTTCTCCAAACATTAAGAACGCGTAACGTGTCATGAATTTAGACTGTTAGCTAAAAAGGACAAAATTGTATGTCGGAAATGAAACCACATACTGTCATGGTACACAACAGTACAATCTAATTACACAAAATGATGATTATTATTGTTATTATTATGTTGTCACAAGTTAATTATTTAACTGACAAGCTCGTTTTCTTGTGATAAACGGTTGGTAGTATATATATATTGTCACTGTGGGGGAAATGAAACAGAAATGCTGATTATGTCCCAAAGACGAGATCGGATGAAATTCTCGTCATTTTGTATTAAAATGCAGCCGCGTGTGCGCTGCTGTCAAAGCCACTGGGAGCAAGAGTAGTTTGTGAGCTGCTGGGGACACTAACGAGGTGAAATTACGATGCCCTTGTTTGAAGCATCGCTTTTCCGACTGGCATTGAAGGCATCAGCAGACAAAGCGTTTTCCTGAATCCCTTGAAGTCCATTGGAACCGGACTGCAGCCGGTTCACCTGTGATGGGCTCCGACTGAGGAAAACGTCCTTGTTTTCAGCAGCGCCAAGCAAAGGCCTGAAGCCCTCTGCTGCTCCGTGGAAGCATTTATCAAAAATGTCCTGCACAGCTCCATAAGGCGTCCTCCCCCCTTTTTCCTCAGCATCATATTTTTAATGATTAGTCACACGTGATAAATTGCAGCCCTGCAGCTGGACGAAGACTATTGATCAAAACGTGAGTCTTTGGCATGAATTAAAAATGCAGCGGTTACTGCTCTTATTACTTCCAGCAGTATTTACTGAAGCAGCTGAAAGCCAGAGGAGGCGTGCTGGTCAGCCTTCCCCTCAAAACTCCCTTATTTAGTCAAGAAAAGAGAGGACGAGGAGAGGAAGAAAGGAGGGGACCGAGGAGGCAAGAAGGGGATGATGAGAGAGGAAAATCAATATGTAACTAAAGTTCATTGATGAATTAATGTGTGCGCACCTTACATTATATTGGATAAACGACTGAAATAAATAAAGAGAACAAACTCCGGGCGTCACTTTGACACATCCATTAAAAGCTACATCTCCTTACAGCGGTGGCTAAACAGCTCCGCAGTAAATGAAACTGTCAGCAGAAACGGTGTTTTTCACACTGCCAGTTGTGTTAGACGTAGAAGCTGCAGGCAGCAGCAGCTTTTATGAAGTAACCAAGAGAAACGCAGAGAGATGGATGATGGGTTTTAAATCATGTATAATCTTACTGTCTTTGCATTCCCTATAACAGACCCGGTGACACAGGAGACGAGCTCATCTGTGGGGAAATGAGCACATTATTTTAAAAAGGACTTGAACGCTAAATCTAACGAAGGCTCGTGTTACAGCCAGGAGGCTGTCAGGACAGCAACCTCTTTGATGCCAACCGAAGGAAAAGGGAAACGAACAGCAGCATGTTTGTGGCTACACAGCTCGTTTGCTGCAGATATTTGGAAGCTTCTGCGATTGTACTTACATCCTTTAGATGTTAAGTTTACTGAAGTGTGCAAGTAAAGCTGCTTAATTCTCTGGATTAGAACATTGTGATTACTCTCAGTGTATTAAACTGCTACTACTGCTATTATTATTATTATTATTATTGTTATTGTTATTATTATTATTATTATTATTGTTGTTGTTATTATTATTATTATTATT